CCCCAAAACCCCAAAACCCCAAAACCCCATGAACCTAATTTTAAGCATCAAGTTAATATTTTTAGAAATTAAAACTAAAACAGCAAATTATTTAAATGTCTGTATATTCAGGTTTTGCAACGAGACATTAAGAGACTGTCTATAATACTCTTGCTTTCAAGCTATTAGAGATTTTAGCTGAAAAGGCTATTAATATAATGAATAATGGTAAGTAGTATTAATTCAACATAAATATCGTCCTTATGATTGAGCCTTTAGTAATTCACGATGAGAAAAAGTGGTCTAAAAAGATCTTGAAGATTTACTGAGCATAAATTTATCTGGAAAAGAACAAATACCTCGAGCCTTTTTACAGTGCGGCACTTGATACATTAGTAGATGCTATCAAGAAAAACTATCAGGTAACGCAAATTATTAATAAATAGATAACTAATTATAGACTATGTCAATGAGAGGGACATCTATAAGTAATTTTGGATTTACTTAGAATAGTGTTAGCTCGAACAATAATCTAGAGGAAGAACTGAACAGGAGTCTACTTTAGATAAAAGAAGAGAGGAATTCAAGAATGCAGGCTTAAAAGATAAGGAATTCCAAGAACTCATTTAAAGGGGTCTCTATAATGACTCAGTCAACTGATAACAGGGCATAGAGTATATTTGGGTTAGCTAATTAAAACGATTCTAATCTAAAACATTAAAATAATAAGGAGATCAATCAAATTAATGAAAATGATAAGTATAGTAATAGCAGATCAATTTCATTAACAAGACCCAAAAGTAATTTAAGAAACCATAGGATAAACTATCAGGATGCCATTGTAGCAACATCTACTATAATGTAGAAAAATAATGAATCAATGTCCTCTAACAAAACATTTTTGTCGCACACCCCATAACCCAATGATGAACCTTACATGAAAAGTTCTAAAGCAAATTATTATAAAACAAAAAGAGAGAGCAGCAATAAATTGTCAGCGAAGTAAATGAGAAGCATAACAATGAGCTAAAAAAAATAATAAAATCTTTGTAATAATACTCTAGGAAATATAGATTATAGCAATTAGTTTGAGATAAATAGGCAAATTCTATAGATACCATCCCCAGATTAAAGAAATAATATGTTAGGGAAACTTAGTGCTATAAATAAAATTAAGTATAAAAAGCAGAAGGCAAACAGTAATACTATTATGAATTTAAGAAGTAAGACACCCTCATTAGTAATTAATTAGCCTATTTTGAGGTAAGACACTAAAGGAATAAATACAAATCCATAGAGAAAGTAATTTCTAAATTAAGAAATAAAGTCCCCAATCAACTACTAAGACTCCATCGATATAAAAAGTCCATAATCTTTAAAAAATGTTAAAGTTAAATTTCTAAATCGTTAACCAATTGAGAGAGATAGTCAGTCTAACAAATACCAAAGCATATAGTTAGTAAGAAATAGCGTTAATAACAAAGCAGGAGTATTAAATCAAAATAAATACTTTAATACTAACAAACAGACAAATGTTAACAATTAATAGAATCAAAGTTCAAACTATGAAAATAACATTAGTATTAATGAAGGTAGTAGAGAGCACAACTAAAGCAAATAAAATGTTAGAGGAAATAAAGAAAATATCAATGCGGAGGACAATAGCATTATTGAGTATGGAAAACTAACTCTTAGCGATCATAATTACAAAGATAACACAGAGCATAAAAACAAAGAGGTAAACGAGAGTATGACATTTAACAAGCTAAATGAAGTCATTTAAGTTTATAATACTCAGAGCACAATTGAACCCTTATTTTCCAAAGACTTACCAATGACTGTTCAAGATCTTAACAGTTCTAAAGAGAGTAATAGGCATGATGCCTCTAACTAAAATAAATTTATTAAAGTAAACAATAACCAAAACTAAGGTGTGCCTTAAATCAAACTAAAGGCTAATCAAAATGACCTGTATTCTCTGAACAATATTGTTTAGCAGTATAAAAGTAATCTTTAAAACTACACCAATATAGCTATAACAGAGGGTGTGAGGTATACATAGACTAGAGGGTAGAGGCATTGAAAAAATACATCTTTATAGAATGCTAATCTTTTGGAATAATTATTGAGCATAGATAAATTACCTTTAATTTTATTTTAATATTTATTTAAAGCAATAAGTCGATAAACTATGATACGATGGGGTTTTGGGGTTTTGGGG